TAGAGACTCTGTTAAAACAAGCATGTCCATGAAACTAACACCACATTTGATTAGTAAAACTGAAAGTATTCTATAACTAAATTATCCCCACTTTAGCAGGCTTTGCATTTCATTCAACCAACTTGGATGCCAACATCTGCTGCTTCTAAAAAATAATAATTTTTGCTTTTCTTAGGCCCCGGATGGACAAAAATCAATTCTCCACCAGAGGAAAAAATAGGCTACACGGTATTAGATACTATCTGGGCTAAACATTTTTAGGGAGTCTCCCTGGTTTCCACTAGCATGAAACACATGATTCTAATAACCCTGTTCAAATTGCAACATTGTATGGAAAAGCTGCCTTAGCCATATATTTTTAAAGCTTCTGAAATTACTTTGACTCCTTTGAAGCCTGTACAGCTTGACTTATACAAGGGACCTAGAGTTTGTGTGCAAAAATGCACAATACTACCACTCTTTTAAGAGCTCAGATGGTTAAAGATTATTCTGTGAAATATGTGGCGTATTCAAAATAAATGATTGGAATACACTTGTTAGAATGCTGCTTTGACCTGTAGAACTCGCTTATGGCTTTACCACTTATTAGTGATGCAGCCATCCAAAACTCTTGCTAATAATAGAACTGTTATACCACACCATGTATTCTGTTCTCTCCCCTCTAAATCTGGGTGAAAACTTGACAGGACCACTGAGCAATAAGGAATTAATAGCACAATCAGAGCTAAATTAATCTGAAGATGAAGAGCACAGTAGGCAAAAGAAAGATGTTCAAGAGCTGGCAGGACGTAGTAGTCCTATAGTGGAAGGTGGGTAGAATAATGGAGAAAACTATTATGCAGATTATCCTAGCACCAATTTTTTAATCTACAGTGAATGCAGTCTGGTAACTGGTGATGTTTAAACCATATTAGAAATGTTAATGAGGTGTCTATTTGGGTTGTATTTAAAATCTTTTCTAAAGACAAACTTGATTTTGCTTTAATTATAGACGTGGTGTAACAGTATCCATGGTAACATTTCTCTAAAATCCTGCACAGCCTCACTCATCTTTCACCTTGTGTCTCCTTTTAATCTCCCTTGCCCCTTCTATTCCCCCTTCTTTTTTTTTAAACATGTCCTCCCACAAACAACCTTTCCTCCATTCACCATCTCGCTTGTTTGTAATGCCTGATCTTCTCAAGCTTTCATTTGTTCCAAAAGAGAACTCTAACAATTGTAGTTTTTAACATTTGTAAAGAGATCAGAAACTTGAAATATGCACAGCCAAACAAAGCAAATACATATCCTTCATGCACATGTCTTATCCTGCACCTTCTACTTGTTTGTGGTCTAGTTCTAGAAAGCAAGTACTTTGAGATCATTCTCTTGTCTGCAGAAAGCATAGCACACTACTAAAAATAACACACAGCACTATGTAATGCTATATAAAAAATAATGCAAACTCCTCCAGCACACTTGTATCCCAGCAAAGCTTATACATTTGGGTGGGACCACTTCCAAAGCATTCAGGTCTACAAACATGTAGAAAAGAACTTCTGTGCCAGAAACTATGCCCCAGAACATGTCAAGGACTCTTAGAGCAAATTTAAATTTTCTAGGCGAAGCAGTATTTGAGAGATGACTTTATAAAAAGTTAACTTTCTAAACTGTGAAATAAACCTCACTTTTCAGCTCCCTATCTCAAAAACTTATTCACCTCACCACAAAGTCGGGAATATATCTCCTCTGGCTACAGACCTGCCCATGCAGAATTTCAAATAGAAAGTGTGTTTTGGAGGAAGTTTTTAAAAGGAGAGAAGGGTGTAAAATCAGGATAATAGAAAGCTATTACCCACTCTCTCTAATGCATTAGTAGATTCCTGGTGACTGTGACTGTCTAGGAAATGCATGAATATGCTGTTTTTGCTGCTTTCTAGGTGGAGGTGAAATCTGGAGAAGAGGATGAAGAAATTCTCTTCAAAGAGAGGGCAAAACTCTATCGATGGGACAGAGAAGTCAATCAGTGGAAAGAGCGTGGAGTTGGAGAGATAAAAATTCTCTTCCATACACAGAAGAAATATTACAGAATTTTAATGAGAAGGGACCAAGTTCTCAAAGTGTGTGCAAATCATGTAATCACAAAAACAATGAATTTAAAGCCCTTGAATACATCAAACAATGCGTTAGTATGGACTGCCACAGATTATGCTGGTGAGTTTGAAAAGATACCGTGTTTTGTGTAGGTTGTTTGAAAAATTTTTCTTCATGTATATGACAAATAAAACTGTAACTGATGCTGAATAGGCTATGATAATCTGTTTGGGAATTTAATTTCAGATGGTGAAGCAAAAGTAGAACAACTTGCAGTTCGATTTAAAAGCCAAGAAATGGCCGATTCCTTCAAGAGGAGATTTGAAGAATGCCAACAAAATTTGTCAGAACTTCAGAGAGCACATGTATCCTTGGCAGCAGAACTGTCAAAGGAAACCAACCCTGTAGTGTATTTTGAGGTTTCTGCTGACGATGAACCTTTAGGACACATAACCATGGAACTATTTTCAAATATTGTTCCTCGAACTGCTGAAAATTTCAGGGCCCTGTGCACAGGGGAAAAAGGATTTGGATTCAAGAACTCTATATTTCACAGAATAGTTCCTGACTTTGTGTGTCAGGTAAGTGCAAGTTGAAGATTTTTTTCTTAGAATAAAACCTATTTTCATTTCTTACAGCAAAGACCATTTGTTACATGGAGTGAAGAGGTTACCAAAGATTTTGATTCAGTGGACTGGCTTTTACTCCCTAGTTTGAGTGTACTTCTTGTCTGAAAAGTGGTTGTTTTATTTTAAAAAGTTGTAGGATTCCTCTTATTGTACCTCAATGATTTCCATATCAAATTTGCTCATTTACAAGTAATTTTTTTTCTCTAAATACTAGGTCTTCAAATATAACCTGCATCTAAAAGTCAGGCTGTGTTCTTTCTGGCTCAGTGTATCGCCAGTAATAAAGATTCTCTAGGCCAGATGCATCAAGGCAATTGCCACTTGCCATGGATAATTTCACTTTTCTCAAACTGATTTGCACACTTTTCTCATCTGTGCAGACTTGATGCACCAACTTCTGCAGACTCAATCTTTGGCAATCAGTGACAGTATACTAATGAGTACTGGTTTTTATCTGGATGCCCAGCCAATGTGGTGGTTGGTAATTAGTACAGCTATTTCAGTTCTCAGACTGAGAACCTAAACTGGCGGGTAAAGAGGCTACCTTTGTATAACACTCGGAGTCAAAGAATTCAAGTTGTCATCCGATCCTATTGCATTGGAGTAGGGCGCTCCCATTTCCCAGTTTAATAAGCATGCTTGAAGTCTCCATATACTTCATACTTGACTTTAATATGTACTTGTTAATTCCATTCCTTACACTGATTTTTATTTGAATTCGTTTCACTTTGGTTTTACTCCTGTATGTGGTGATCTCAACTGGTATACTCCGTAGTGCTAGTAATGACCCATTTGCTTGTTAATACCCAAACACTGGCCCAGGCTAGTATAGCTGTGGACTAGAAAAACTAGTTGCCTGATTCTGAAGGGCATTAGAGTGGCTCATATTAGCTGCAGGGTGCCCTTAGCAGTAAATATTTTCATTTTTCTTTGCTTGTTAAGAACACATGGCCAACATATGAATGGCTTGTCTACATAGACATCCCGGAAGGTTAATCCAAATTGACTAAAGTTGTGAATTTGAAGTGGATTAGTTAAATCATATTAAACCCTAGTGTGAACACCCTCATTCAGAACTGAAGTAGCCTTTAATTTGGCTTAGTTTAATTCACTTTAAACTGAACTAAGTCCACTTGAATTTCAAAAGCCGTGTCCACACAAGGATTTAGTGGGGTTCACTTCAGATTCACACCTCTAGTTAATTGGGATTAATTTTCCTGGATGTCCCTGTGACAAGCCCAAAGAACTTCTTACCTGCCCAATTTTGTAAGGTGCCGACCTCAAATTTGAGTAGATTCAACTAGAAAACAGAAAGGACACCAGTAATTCTCAGAGGAGACACTGTACCTTTCACAGTTAGGCCACAAATTAGCACATATGAAAACTTTATCCTTGCCATGAGTGCTTAATATTTTCAGTTTTCTGTTCGCTTGTTATGATGATCACATTTATGACTAAAACTAAGAATGAGAGACCATTCTGTCTTATTTTGTCAATATCCAGACATGTGAGCTCTTAATATTTTTCTAATTTCGTAATTCTTAGAGGAAAACATACAGCAAGTTTTCTACTTGGTAGATATTTATGGGCTAGTAATGAGTTAATTCTATAAATGATTAATATTTTCAGGGAGGAGATATCACTAGGCATGATGGAACAGGTGGACGGTCCATTTATGGAGATGCATTTGAGGATGAGAACTTTGAAGTGAAACACACTGGTCCTGGATTACTGTCGATGGCAAATCGTGGCCGGGACACCAATAATTCTCAGTTTTTTATCACTCTTAAAAAAGCAGAACACCTGGACTTTAAACATGTGGTATTTGGGTTTGTGAAGGATGGCATGGATGTTGTGAAAAAAATGGAATCTTTTGGTTCTCCCAAAGGGTTGGTGAATAGAATTGTCATCACAGACTGTGGGCAAATATAATGTCTAAGTAGTGATTCTACAGATATGTGCACTAACAGCATAAATCAAAGTTGGGCTGTTGTAGACTATGTTCAGCTTTTTTAAAATTGACATTTCTGATGTATAAATGTAAAATTACAACTTATAGAAAAGTACTTTTTTTATGTGTTAATTGACTTTGCATGTTGTGAAATAAAAGTTCAAACACTGGCATATGTTATCCTGACATTTGTTTTAAATGTGAAAAATTTAAAATTAAATCCTAGTCTTGTTAAAGCAATTGTCTTTTCTTCACTTTGGTTTGTACAAGGAATATTACATGCATAATCTATTTTCAGTTATTTTGATTTGCTACTCTGATGTATCAGTATTTTGAATACAGAATTAGCTATCATGCTTCCAAACTAAAGTAGCTGTATGTGAGAACTATTTCCTCTTCTTCCCACTGATGCACAGAAAAACAAAAAGCAAAGTGGCAATTCATTCTCCTTACCCTTCTTAAGAGAATTCAGCTGCAAATATAAGTTACCATCTTTCTCTCTAGATGGAAGTTATCTTTCCTAAGTTGAAGAAAACGTGTGTTTTCTACTGGGTGGTTTGTTTGTAAAACAGTCTTTGGGTACCTGAACCCTGAAGTTATTGAACTATTGCCTGTATACTATCTTAACATAAGTTCTTGTAAAAATCCGACTGAGAACTTGTGATCTTCCTGTGGTATAAATTAATATGCTTTGAGAGCCGCTGCTTGTATCAGTGCTTTGTATATAGGAGAGTGATTGCAAAAATACTTGTAAGGGCAATTGGATAAATAAAGAACTTGTAAAGCTTATTGGGTGGGGGAAAAAAAACTGGTAAACTCTGGATCTTAAATGAAAAATAACATATTGTATTTTTGCATCTACTGTTAGTGACCTGTTAGTCTCCACCCCCAGACTATTTACTGGTTCATGAGAGGTCATAAACATTTACAAATGGGTCCTGATCCCATAAAGGTTGAGAACTACTGATCTAGATATCACACTTGCATACAAATACCATTTCACTAAAGTAGCTCAAAAGATAAAGAGCAGAAACACTCTTCTGAACAAACTGGTAGTGTCCGCATTGAGAGCCCGTGTGCAAACAGGGCGTTGTTCAGGGCTCCTTCTCTGCTGCTCAGCTGGAACACAGTGCCCCAGTTTGGTTAAACTCTGCCCACTCTCGACTACTGGACATACTTACTCACACCAAGAGAATTATTACAAGCACCCTGCAACCAACAAAACTGGTTTGGTTATCAGCCCTAGCCAATTTTCTTTAACCAACCATCTGGCGTCAGAATGCAGCCAAGAAACTTCAATTAAAAACTGGCAGATGGACCATGTTTGCTGACTCGGGCTCATGGTGCACAGGCTGTGGGGCTGTTTAATTGTACTGTAGACATTCAGACTCATGCTGGAGCCAAGCTCTAGGAGCTGCAAGGTGGGAGGGTCTCATAGCTGTGGCTGCAGTCCAAGCCCAAATGTCTACACTGCAATAAACAACCCCATGATCTTGAGTCAACTGGCACAGGCCAGCTGCGGGCTTTCAATTGCTGTGTAGACATCTAGCTGACTCAAGGCTATTTTCCCGAAACCTTTCATTGCTTGTATTGTCCACATGCAATTGCTCTCTGTGTATAATAAAATTAATAGTTTAATCATTAAACTTGCTGTGAACGAAGTAGATAATCTTAAATACCTGAAAAGCAAATTTTGTCACTTTTGCAAAGCTTTTTTAGTTCTTAAAACGTCAGTTTGGCAAAATCACCACTTTTTTACAGTATGAATCAAGTTGTGCTGTTGCACAAATGTTTGATATCTCAATCTTGCTTTGCGATGGTTAAAAGTAAACTAAGAAGGGTATGGCTGCCATGCAGGGCCAGTGCAACCATTTAGGCGACCTAGGCGGTTGCCTAGGGCACTAGGATTTGGGGGGCGCCATTTTCTTCGGCAGCAACCGCGGCGGCCGGATCTTCGGCCGCCCTGGTTGCCGCCGGCATTTAGGCGGAGGGAGCTGGGGCAGTGGAGCACGGGGAGGGCTGCCTGCAGCAAGGGGGGGTGGGGGGCGGCACGCAGGGGAACTCCCCGCCCCGCCTCCTCCCTGCCCCGCCTCCTTCCTGAGCGCACAGTGGCTGCTTCACTTCTCCCGCCTGCCAGGCTTGCGGCGCCTAAGCTGATTGGCGCCGCAAGCCTGGGAGGCAGGAGAAGTGAAGCAGCCATGGCGTGCTCAGGGAGGAGGCGGAGCAGGGGTGAGCTGGGACGGGGGGGTACCTCAGGGTGGGGGGTGGGGAGCTGCCACGGGGGGAGGCGCCTCAGGGCGGGAGCTGCTCTGGGGGGGTGCCTCAGGGCGGGGGCTCGGGGACGGGGGGGGGCGCAAGGAAGTTTCGCCTAGGGCGCGAAACATCCTTCCACCGGCCCTGCTGCCATGGTATCGTCACTTAAAACATGAGAGCTTAAATAAAGTGGTCTGGCCAAACATTCAATCTATACACATTTATGAAATAACTATATTAGCAGCAGGAGTCATGAGCATGGTTTATAACTTATCAATAGATTTAGTTTATAAAATCGTATGAGGAAACTGCTGAAACTAAACATCTTGTCTTATATTTCACTTTACAAAAATTAACAAAATCTGATCAGGAGGTGGTGGCTTTTTCTGATTTATGGAATAAAAACAAAGCTATACTGTCTACTAATTGGCTGTACATATGCCACTTCAGCTTTGCAGAGTACCAAAACAATCGCTGAAGGTCTGTTATCGTATGTCTCTCTCTGCTAGTCAATAGGAGTATACAAGCAAAAACAAAAAAATCCCATTTGTACTAGTCATGGAAACTATGCTGCAACCCTACTACCAGCAACCATCTTTTAAACACAGTTGTTGCTAGCATACTTCTGATCCCAGTGGGGCTGGGGCTAGCCCTGTAAAGAATTGAAAATACTTCAGCTAATGCTATGTTCCTTCAACCCTTGATTCGTATTCTCTTTTTTTGCTTATCTTTGGTTTAGTTAGAGTGGAGCAGACTGGAACTGAAAAAGGTATCAATGGCACGGTAACTATCCATAAACCCTTTTGCACTCATTTTGGCTGGAGAATGTCCTAATTTGCATTTATTCAGTTATTTAGACAGTCTTTCTCAAACTCAGGGTACGTCTTCAGTACCTGCCGTATTGACGGGTAGCAATCGATTTATCTGGGATCAATATATCGCATCTTGTTAAGATGCAATATATCGATCCCCGAACGCGCTCACCGTCGACTCCGGAACTCCACCAGAGCGAGCGGCGGTAGCGCAGTCGACGGGGGAGCTGCGGCCGTCGATCCCGCACCGTGTGGACCCCAGGTAATTTGATCCAAGATACTTCGACTTCAGCTACGCTATTCGCATAGCTGAAGTTGCGTATCTTGGATCGATTCCCCCCCCCCCCCCCAGTGTAGACCAGCCCTCAGTTACAGTTTAGTTTTCTGCAAGCTTTAGCCTGATTCTGCATCCTACATGGTTGTAGTCAAGCATGACAAGTGGGGCATGGTAACAAGCAATTCAGTAACCTACTACAAGCAATCTATTTGAAGACTTCAGTCTGTTTTGAGGAATTCCTTATCAGCAGGCTCAAAGCTGATCAGCTGAACAACTGGCCACTATGCCCAGCTTTGAAGCGTTAAGCCTGGTAATACAAGGGCAATGAGAAGATATTTTATGTATATTTTCAAGGTCAGCATTGGCTTGATATAAGTAGCATTCTTTATTTAAGCAAGTTATTATTCTAACAATCATGTGATGAGACTTCCAAAGTGCAGTGTAACTTTTTTTCATTATGACAGGTTTCAGAGTAGCAGCCGTGTTAGTCTGTATCCGCAAAAAGAACAGGAGTACTTGTGGCACCTTAGAGACTAACAAATTTATTAGAGCATAAGCTTTCGTGGGCTACAACCCACTTCTTCGGATGCATCCGAAGAAGTGGGTTGTA